CCCACACTGAAGAGCCAGCAAAGCCCAGCATTGTGCCTGGCAGCAGGGCCAGCCCCAGAGCACCAGCCTTGCCTGAGCTGGAGTAGGAGACAGTGAAAACCTCACTCTGCTCTGGCCTGGCCTGCCCTGCCCCGCTCGGGAGCCCGGCCCCTGTACTTGATCTTTGTCTTGTCCCATCCCTGTTTATCCAAGTGTTCAGCCTGGATGGGGCTCTGAGCAACCTGGTCTAGTGGAAGATGTCCCTAGCCATGGCAGGGACTGGAACTAGATGGTCTTTAAGGTCCCTTCCAACCCAACCCAACCCAACCCAACCCAACCCAACCCATATTAAGATTTGATGATTCTGTGGAGCTCATCAGGCCTTCATTCAAGCAGAGACATCTCCTTTCCGGGTACCAGACTGAGTAGCTTGGTTTAGCAGGACATGGATTCACAGAAAGCCAGCTCAGCCTTTCCAGTGCTGTCAGAAGTCCCATCCCATCTGTGTCTGGTGCAAGACTGATGTGGGGGGAAGCAGGGGGGACTCGGGGGCTCACACTGGTTCTGCACCCTCTGTAGACTTACACAGCCTCCATTGCTAAGCAGTGTTTACCGTAAGTCAAGGACATTTTCAGTGTCTCATGCTTGGCCAGTGAGAAAGTACACAAAAAGCTGGAGAGAGCTTAGCCAGGTCAACATTCTGGAATGGGATTTGGCATCAGTGAGTGGGCTGTGGGCAGCTGTATTGTTCATCACAGATTTTTCTTGGGATTTTTTATTTGCTATTATTATTAAAATATTTATTTTATTTCCTTTATTCTATTTATCAATCTGTTATGATTTAATTGTTATTTAAAGTTTTCATTTTGATTCTCCTCCCTGTTCCACTGGGGTGGGGAGGGAGAGGGTGTGAGCGAGTGGCTGCATGGTGCTTAATTGCCAGCTGGACTAAAACCAGGAGAACAGCGTATGTTTCATTTCTAGGACTCCTCTGCATCTTGCTTGCATAAATGGCCATGCAGATGTTGTTCAGTTTCTGGTAGAAAAGAAGTGCAAGCTAAATCCTTGTGACAAATTGAATAAATCACCACTAATGAAGGTATGCAGAAGGGGCATATGTTCTCTAATTTTTGATGATGCTCATACTTTCCAGTGTTGGGAAGGTGCGGGAGTTCTGACAGTGAGAAACATAGATGTTGGAAGTTATTCCTCCTTTGTGTCTTGTTTCCAGGCAGTAGAGCACCAGCACAAGGACTGTGCAGCTATTCTGCTGGAACATGGTGCCAACCACGACCACAGAGATGTAAATGGTAACACCGCCCTTCACTTTGCTGTCATGGTTTCTAGCAAATCTCTCGTGGAGCTGTTACTTGAGCACGGTACAGATATCAATGCTAAGAATAAAGTAAGCTTGGACTTTAGGTAAAGCTGCTCTTCCCAAGTCAACTTGCTCTACTTCTCTCTGTTATTCTAAGAGAGATGATTTCTCCTTTCAGTTTGGATACACTCCGCTTACTCTTGCAGTCACTGAAAACTGTGAAGAAATGGTCAAGTTCCTTCTTCAAAAGGGAGCTGATGTGAATGCTCAGGATAATATTTATAGGTAAAGGGTTTGCCAAAAGTGCATGTGGGACTCCTTAGCGCTGTTCAAGTTGGATTGATGTGAGGCA